TCCCCGCCCCCTGGGAGCTCTCAGCCCGAATCGGCTTTCAATTAAACTGCGGCGGCCAGAGCTCCCGGGGAGGAAACAGGCTATCGGCGCCGGCTAAGGAGCCTCCCCTGAGGCCTGGGCCTGGGCCTGAGGGAATCCCTAGGCCAGCTTGGGAAGGGAGAGGGGGCATCAGACTCCCCTGGGAAAGGAGATCTGCAAGCCAGGAATGACATCTTTGAGTTCTTCAGTCCAGAGCTGCCTTCCGGTTAGGCCACCTCCTGGAGGTCAGCATCCAGGTCTTTTCCTACAGCCCCCCAAGAATCTAGAGTCAGAAATCCTAGGGGCTTTCGGTACCTATTTTCTCAGGCCCAGAAAGTCCTTATCATCTTCTACCACCTCCTCCTGGGGCCCGGGGAGGCCTTCTCCCTCTGGGACCCAGAAGTCCTGATCTTAGGTCTGGTCTCTCTAGTCCCAGGTCCTGGACCCTAGATATGGAAGAGAGTCTCCAGATGGGCCTGTTACACTCAATATCTAGAAACTAATGGGGAGGGGCAGAAGCCAAGAGTTCCTAGCTCAACTCCTGTTTCAAACACATAGATGTCTCTTTACTAGACCTCCAGGGATCCTGTGGGAAGCCTGAGGCCCAGTGAAGTGTTGGTAGAGAGGGTGGGTTCTGGGTGTTTGGGCCGTATCCTCTCTGGGAGAACAGAGAGATTACTTATGCTGAACCCTGTCTTGGTGTAGAGGTATGGAAAGGACAGAAGGGAATCCCAGATGGAAATAGCCCCTCCTTTGGCACCGCATTGCCTGACACTGCCGCAGACTCCACTTTGCCAACCCCCTTCCCCTGCAGCCAAAGCACGTGGTAGAGGGGGCAGCTGCCCTATGAGGTGACCCCACGGTCACTAGAGAGATAGATGAGCTGGCCGGCCAACAGTTCTGGCTCCTGTACACCACACAGTCCCCAAAACTAATGGGAACAAGGGTATCTCATTCAAAGGATTGGGGACCCTTGTGTCCCCAGCCTCCCCAGCGGCCACCTGGCCCTGACTGGGATCCAGGATTGAGAACCTCAGAGCCAAAGCTGCCAGTGTCTGGAAGACTCAGTTCTTTCAGCCCTTGTGGCCCTATGGCCAACCTCCGGAGAGGTCTGCAGGGGTATCAGTCCAGAGGGTCAAGCAATGCCCAGGGGAGCGTTTGAAGGCACTAAGCGCAGACAGCAGGCGCGGGAGGCGCGGGAGGCGCGCTAGTGCGCAGGGGACGCAGCGCCGCTGGAAGGTGGGGGTGGG